ATTTTCAAAATTTTACTAATAAATTCTAACTTAATATTCTAAATTATTTTATTATTTATATAAAAATATATTGAACTAAACTGAACATATTTATGAACTTTGAACTGAACCTAAACTGAACTAATTTAAAAAGTTCAAAAATTGAACTGAATTGAACTTTAGTTTTTAAAAATATTTAGTTCAGTTTAGTTCAATTTTTGAACTGAACTTGAACTTGATAAAAATTTAGTTTAGTTTATAGGAACCCTAAACAAAACTACATATGCAATATTATTTGAATTATCAAAAAAAGTTCTAGATTTAGCTATTAATACTAATATATTAGACAAACTATTTAATATTCTTAAGTTATTTTTTTAAGATATACAAAATAAAATTAATAAGAATTAACAACAAATAGATAATTTTAAGAATATCAAAACTCTAATATTACCAAATATAAAGGCCAATCATTAAAAAAATTAAAGTTCAATTTTAAAGATACAATTTCTAAAGTCAAATAAATACTAAAAGACAAAAATAAAAATTTAAATACAGTGGTCCTCCTCTACAGTCACCTAGTTTATCTAGCATATTTTGGTGATTATATAGTGGGGTGATTGAATAGAATTACCTTTATATAATCCCATATATAATATAACTACCATAATGTGATTTTAAAGAAGTAATTATATACCTCTGTTTTGTGTAACCTCTACGTACCTCAATTTAATTTCATAAAATTAAAATTTTTTAAAAGTTTAAACAAATATATCTTGATAATTATTAAAGTAAATTCAACAAACTTTTTTTTATTTTAATTCTAGAGATCTCTAGAATTAAAAGAAAAAAAATTTTATTGAATTTGCTTGGATGGTTACCAAGATACCTTTGTTCAAAGTTCAATCAAGATTTAAAATGCCTATATATAGTAACAGTTACAAATACCTGTGCATAACTTTAAATGAAGATATCTCAGCAACCATCCAAGCAAATTCGATGAACTTTTTTTTTTTAATTCTAGAGATCTTTAGGATTAAAATAAAAAAAGTTCATTAGATTTGCTTGGATGGTTGCTGAGATATCTTTGTTTAAAGTTCAATTAAAATTTAAAATACTTATATAAAGTAACAGTTACAAATATCTGTGCAATAAATTTAAACGAAGGTATCTTGGTAACCATCCAAGCAAATTCAATAAACTTTTTCTTTTAATTCTAGAGATCTATAAAATTAAAATAAAAAAAAAGTTTGTTGAGTTTACTTTAATAATTGCCGAGTTATTTAAAAATTTTAATTTTAAATTAAATTGAGGTATGTAAGATTACACAAAACAGAAGTACATGAAAAATTGCTGTTTATAAAATTAATTCAAATTAGCCACAAAAAATAACTATACAATTACAGTAGTTTATTCTATATAATATTAGCACAATAATTCTTTGCAATAAGGGTTATAATACCTGAGCATAACTATATAAATATCATTCTGGTCTTATATAAAGGATCTTGGATCAATTATTGTTTATTTGAGGGAACTATCATTTGCTTTTCTTCTATAACAATTCTTACATTTGTTTATGTGGTTTAACAACTAATTCTGAGGATTCTTCCTCATTATCACCTTAATGTTCTCAACAAGCCTTTCATATTGGCAATAACGATTTGGAACTTGTAATAAATAGCTTTTCAGAATTACTAATGTTGGAATAAATATAGCTTATTCAAATTTGTAAAATTAAGTTCACCCAAGAATACCACATCCATATATCTGGCACTAGCCAATTAAAAAATAAAAGCTTTGAATAAAGCCCAGGTGCTATAACACAGTACTAAATGGTAAGACCAAAAAGTAATAACTTACCTTTTAAATAATTTATCCAGATTTTAATTACAAAGAGTTTCCCAATCATAATGAATTAAATTTGGCATCAGAAATACAATAAATTGATATCAATATATTGAGCGAGCTCGAGCTAATACCATAAAACACCCAAAATTTTACTTTTTAAAAAAAAATTCAAAAAATTTTCACAAAAAAAAAAAAAAGAAAAAGAAAACTAAAAAAAAATTTGTAAAATTAAATTTATATTCAGGAATTCTGCACAGTGTCTAAAATTCAATTTTTAATTTAGTTGTGGGCCGCAACTAAATAAAAAACTTTACTTGCAGGCATATAAATAGATTATATACAAATTCGAACATATCTATATGCAAATTTACAAAATTTATTTGCGAAACCAGCATATACATTTCAGATTTTAGTTGCGGAAACTTATAAATCATTTGTGGTCCACAAGCTCTGCAACCTAATTTCAGATACTGATTCCGTATCCATATACCTAAGTAAAAAATAAACATTTCAATAAGACCTTCAGTACTATAAAGCAGCCTGAATGATAAAAACCAAAGAGCTGATAACTCACCTTCCATATAATTTATCTCAAATCTTAGCATTTCTTGACTATAGTGATTTGGAACCAGAATCGCCATAACATTAAATTGAGTATAAACTAACACCATAAAAACAAAAGTTTTTTAGCTTGAAAAAAAAAAAAAAAAAAAAAAGATAAAAAATCGAAAAAAAAATTTGTTCCAAAAAAATAAACCTGCTATTAATTATAAACAGGTAAGAAAAAGTCAGAAATTGATTTTTGCTTTAATGATTCCACATATTTTCTTCCTATTAATAACACATATTTTCTGAAAACCTTCAAATCTTCTACCTTGAAATCATCACTTTTTTGTTGTTCAAAAAAGTCAACAAATTTTTTTTAAACTGTTTAATCCTTCTGTAGCAGGAACTTCAGGTGGCTCCTTATCAGTATCACTGGCATCACCTTCTTCATATTCTCGTTGTTCATCTAACATAATATTCACAATTTGCATTTCATCAAGAACATCCTCTGTAAGTACTTTAGAATTATTTAAATTGTTAAAGTTATTTATTTCACGTTCAATTGTTAGGTCTGATAAATTTGTTGTTAGGTCTACGATTAATTCATCATTTTCATTTATTTCAAAGTCAGCCAAGTCTTGCAGAGCAAGAGTAGCATCTTTAATTTTGTCACCAGAGAACACCAGAAGAATTCCAGTTTTTATCCACAATTCACAATTGTTGACATTTCTACCTTATCCCATGATTCTGCAACATAAGTTATCGCTTCTCTTATATTCAATTTTTCCCTATATAATTCAAAAAAGTTTAAATTAAAATTCTTTAAAACTACTCTATATACAGAAAAAAATAGTCACATACGAAAAGTAGTAAAACTAAAAACACTGCATATAGTCTAGATACTATATATTAAAGATGTGATCCAATCAATTTTTTTATATAGAAAAACTGATCAGGTTACATCTCTATTGCATACTAATCTTGCGTTTGAATTAGTGAATCCTATTTTGGGAATATTATATGCAGTGCTGTATAGTAGTATTGAAATCAAACCAAAATTAGAAAAAAGCCCAATCAAGGAGATCACTAGTGTTGCCACCTAGAAAATTTTACTAACTTCAAGATTATATATAATGCACTGCAGTCAGTGTTGGGCTCTGGACCAAAAGTCTGCTCTACTGGACTTATAAACTGGACTACTGGATTTATAAACTGGACCACTAGACCTATAAGTCCAATTTCAGTTCAATTTTACTAGACTTACACAGGTTGAACGAATAAATAAAGGGTAAATAATAGGTAAATAATAGAAAAAAAAACTGCCATTATTCTACCTTATATCTGCCAAATAATGGCAGCATAACAGCAGCATAACAGCAGAATAA